TCTATCCAATCTATCCAATCTATCCAATCTATCCAATCTATCCAATCTATCCAATCTATCCTATCTATCCTATCTATCCTATCTATCTATCTATCCTATCTATCTATCTAAATCTGTTGAACCAGCAAGTGGCAGTTCATCGGAACCGCGGCCATTCGGTGCAGCCACAACAACTCAATAGCGGGACGCAAATCGCACTGAGCTTCTCTTGCCAACAATGGTATTGAGCAGCAAGTCAGGCCGTTTCATCTTTGCGCTCCAGAATCCCTGCCTCCAGCAGTGGTCGCCAGATCGTGCACTTGTTTAGTTCTGTTAGCATCGTGAATCATCTGCAAATGGCGAGTCCATTTGGGATTTTGCAAGGCTTTGCCACCGCCATGGGGTATAACCACTCGAAGTCCCCACCTCATTCGTCTCCTGTATCCACCTCTGACCATCCGCATTGCGTTTCAGCCAGTTCGCATCGACGGCCCAGATTCCATGGGCTTCATGTCTTTCGAAACCGTTGTCGCTGTGGAGGACCGCCTGGCTGTGAAACCATTTGACTTCTGCCACCGCCTTGTGCGGTAACACTGGCATACTGGATTTTGATATATACTTGATATGTTTTGCTCATGATATATACTGTTATTACATACAAATATGGACCAATTACTGCTATAAACGCTATAAATGTGTCCTTGTTTCAGCAATATCAACTCTCAGCAACATGGAAGGACACGGCTAGTTGTATCCATCAAAATATTCGGGACATCGCTTGAACTTTGCTCTACAAACAGTGCATGATTGTTTCTGCATATCTCCAAGCAGTTTGCCATGCCGCCCATCTTTAGTCTATACCTCCAAGATCTGCAATGCCAGCATTTCCAGTATGTTCCAGTACGGCACATACTTTTGGAGGCCAATTTTTTCGGGGTCCAGGTTCGTTTAAACTGGGCTTAGCAAAATCCCTGGGGTGTTGCTAGATTCAAACCAGACCACCAAACCATGGGTTTGCCTCGAGGATACCACCCAAATCCATTGGTTGAGCCTCAGTCTCTCCATTACATGGCGATAATTTTGGGTATACCCGTAATGCCTTGAAAAAATTGAGGCAGGCCCACATGTCATGTTGACATTTCATTACCAAAGGACCTACGGTCATGGCCGGTCGTTTTGGAAGCGCTAAATAGGAGTGGATCGTTTGATCTACAGCCCTGGGCCTGAACCAGAACCTGAACCACAGCCCTGGGAGATCTTTTGCTGGACGCATTCCAGCCATAACTAAAGCCAAAGCGCCCGCAGATCGGCTCCTGTCCAGGTATTGGCAAATAGACCTGCGGCGCAGGAGATTTGGAGAGCCCAACGTCCATGTTTTTTTTATTTCTTGAGAAATGGCCATGAAATAGGATGTCCCATTTTGAGACACAGTAAGGGAAAACTTTGATATCTGCAGTGAGTTAATGATTGTGTTATTTTAATCTTGTTAAAACCAGAACAGAACCATTTTGAAAGATGGTAATCAACTATGAAAACCAATCGTGAATGAACCGGTTTACATACGAATTGGTTTCTGGTTGCATCAGCCCTGCGAAAGTCTAACTTTTAGTTGGATAAGTGGTGTTTGTAGTGTTTATCCATCTAATCCCAAAAATACCAAACATCTAGATCCGTATGGCCAAAAAATCAATGAACTAGTGCAAAGTTCCGGCAAATTCGGAAGAAACGGCAGTGTTTGTTTCGACTTGCAGAGGTCAAGCTTGTGATCTCTTGAGCCCCAAACCATACGAAGGCTACTGTTACGACATGGTCAGCAACGGCCCAGCAACGGCGGTACTCAGGCGACTCAATGGGATCCACCCCACCATGTTTCAATCGACGGTTGAACCTTATACTGGGGTTAAACGTTGCTTATGGAAGCGCATACTGCCTCAAATAACCTTTGTTTCTCGGTCAGCTTTTAAGTGTTGCAGGTAATATCATTTTTTTTGCAGGCGAAAACACAATTCTTGCAGGATTATTTTAACCAACAACAATTCCAATCTGTTGATATCACAGTTTGTGTTTTCTTGATAAACATCAATATATATATATATGCTACATACACATATATATATGTTCCGTCCCCATTTTTGGTGGGCCAAACATCGTCATATTTTGTTCAACAAACCAACTCCGCTCCGTTGGCCTTGGCTTGAAAGAATTTCTCTTCAGAGTCCTCGTTGACCTCATGAAATGTGGCTTCCAGCATAGGGAGTCTAACTGGTATTTAACATGGTTTAATGGTATATAACTGTACTTAACATGGTTTAATGGTATTTAACTGGTATTTATCATGGTATTTAACTCTTAATCATTTAATCATCAAAGAAAAAATGATATAACTGGGATTTAGAATTAAATAATAATGTTTAACAGTTATTATATACCATTAAAATCCATTAAACACCATTAAACATCCTTTAACTGGTATTTAACTGTTAATCATTTAACATGGTTTGAGACCTACGTGGTGCAAAGTCTAATGTGCAGATTTGGGATGAAGCGGAGAAATGATCGATTAAGCTTCCAAAGGTTTGACTTTCTTGAACCGAATCTTGGGACAACTGTTGTCCCCTTTCTTCAGATCAATCAGCCTTCAACGTTGATGCCAGCAGAGCCCACGAGACCGCTGGAAGCAATTCCAATGAGTTCTGGGACCCCGAGATCCAATGGTTTGTCTATCATTTTCTCAAAAAACTGCGGAGTACACCAAGCCGGGCAAGACCTTATGCCACCAACCAGGAGGGATATGCCCCCTGCAATCTGGATTGGAATGAACATCCATAAGAAAGACTGACCCTACCGGACCCTACCAAGTTATTTTGTTTGACCCTGCCTTAAATGTGGGTTCGGAAGATGAGTTTCCACTAAAAATGGGCCATTTGCAGGGTCAAACTGTTGATTTGGGGGATTTGATGTGAACTACAGCTTCTGTGCATATCCCAGTGATTGATGATCTTTTGGGGAGTCAGACACCGGCTGGATTACCTTTGAGCATCTCTCATCCTATCAATAGGTGAACCTCTTTGTTGAATATCTCGCGGGAGTGGCAAATGTGTTGTGGTTCATAATATGTGGAACGTAGAATTTTATTCAAACAACCCCCAATCGTCAAGCATTTGAGCCTGATAAATCATCGCAGGGGCAATACCCAAAAATAGACCACAATTTGGAGATGGATACTTTTGTGGATCCACCATCATCCATCATTCCAAAAGATACGTTGGCTTTACTCAGTTTTCTTGGATCAATTCCAGCCTCCTAGGCGTCGTTCCTGCTGGCATATTCTGATACCCTCCGGTCATGAAACTTGGCAATTGAAAATCCACCATTCATAGATAAAAATCCCATCAAAACCTCCATTTAGTTGGTGGATTTTGCCAGCAATGTTTGAGTACCCGAAAAGTATCCGACTATGTTTTTTTTTTGCATGGATACCCTGGTTTTCAATCATTGGCTTATCTTGCTGTATAAGATCAGGCCTTTCCAATATCTCGGGTCGATTGGTCAAACATCTACCTCCAGGGTTTCCCCGCAGACATGGACATCATGAGGCTATCCCAGGTATGTACCCTTTAAAACAATAGGATTTTGTCATATTCGCCCCATGCAGAATCAGGGTTGATGGAACTTAATGGCGGTGTAATCCTCATTTTGTTGGTTCTACCCCCAGAATTTGTTGGTCAAATCCAATTTTCAATTGTGCTTTTTGTTGGTTGAATCCACATTTTCTTAGGTTTGATTCCTCTCGTTGATTAAATCCCCATCTTTCCTGTCGTAGCGGCTCGAAAGACGTCAAAACGAACCTCCTTCGACTTTCCAAGACTCCTCAGTAGCTGCATTCTACGATTCTAGGATGCATCCCCAGTGATATGGCTGAGGTTTATGGTAACCCATCGCATATTGGGAATCCATATATAATATATTATAATATATATATATGATAGAATAAAATATAATACAATATAATATAATATAATACAATATTATATTCAATATATAACATATATAATGGGTATATGAAACTATTAATGGATTGACGACCGCCCCCGAATGGGCATACAATCCGGCACACTTGACTGTGGCATTGTTATATAAATATATATGGGGGTTTCCTAAAATAGGGGTACCCCCAAATCATCCATTTTAGTAAGATTTTCCATGAAATAAACCATCCAGCTATTGGGTACCCCATGACTATAGAAACCCCCATACTGTAAATAATTCGCAATTGGTTGCTCATGCCAGGTTATGTCCCTTGCTAATGGCATAAGTAGGGCTGATCCAGGCTACTTCATGATTCCCCTGGCTGCGATCTCCGCATCCAGGCTGGAAACAGGGAGATATCAAAGCCATTTTCGAACCCATTTTCCATGTCAGAACCAATTTCACCCATAGAATCTGCCTTATATGTGCTGGCCATTTCAGGTACCTAAATCGGAGGAAAGGAATATGTAGGTGCCACATTTCAGGTACCCATGTCAGGTAGCACATGTCAGGTCTATGCAAGGATTATGTAGCTGGATATAACCTAAAAACATGGCCTTATATGATACAGTCCCTCCATTTTAGGTACCAAACATGAGCTTATTACATATCCCAATATGCACACTATGTTGCCATTGTGTCCCCAGTAGATCCATTAAACTAGCCTGTTTGATAAGTCATCAATGTCACGCACTTCCTTTCTTTCAGCTGGTCAATTTTTTCTCATTTACAGCAAAGAAAACAAGACTAAACTACCCGATTAGCGATCCAAGATTTACCCAGCAAATCTAAGCAATATTTAGCCCACTTCAGAAAGTCTATTGTGTTCACGGGAGCTGCTGGGGGTTTTTCTTGTTCCTCCCGCTTCTTGGGGCCACCTGCAGATTGAGCAGTTTGTGGCCACATCTCACTGTCAAGGTTCATGAAGCTACCTGATTGGTGCGGTTGGCACTCCAATAGAAAGGCCCGAGCCTGGGCAGCATATTGTGATATATCCTCACTGCTCCTCGACAGTGTCCACTTCGCTGGGTCCTGCTTGCGTCCTCATGAGACGGTACGCAAGGCCTCTCAGACTGGCAGGGTCTGGAGTGTACGCTCCCCAGCTGACGTTGGAGTATATATACGGAATATCCCCAGTTAGATCAATGGGTTGTAAATCACTTAGGATTCGCGGGATGCATCCAAGTATCCATTGCCAAGGTATATTTCAGGAACCTAAAGTGGAGGTCACCTACCTCAAAAGCATATGGATTTGTTTGAAATTGGGGTACCTCCAAATCCACTGGTTAAACATCATTTTCCACAAATATTGATTTGTCAATCGTTGTTGATATCATTTTTCCGTAAGGTTTATCATCCTTTTCCTCCCAACTCCACTGAGTGATAGACACTTGTATGACAACTTGACAACTATTTGTCCATAAATATTGATGGCATTTTGTAGGTATACCGGTATACCGCTATACCCTCTGGTAAACTGTCCAATAACTATGGAAAGATCCAGCATTTTCATTGGGTAAATCCACTATAACTCGCCATTTTCAATAGCAAACTTTTTGGGATGATTTCCCTGACTTAACTTTCTATGGGCTGCCCAATATGGTTGGTTGGTATAGAAATCGGGTACCTTAACAATCCACATCGCATAGCGATGCAATTGTGGATTGTTCAGGTACCCGATTTCTATAACATGGCTGTCATTTTGTACCAACTATTGATTTGATGTACTTTAATGAACTGTCAACAATCCAAATGTTGTCATGTTTCCTATTAACATTGCTGTTTTAGAGTTCGCTCAGTTTTTGGACAAACCCATCCACATCCCATATTAGATATCTCAATCCCATTCTACCGATTGTGTCGCCATTGTATCCCCATTAGATCCATTAAACTGGCCTTTTTGATAGGCCGTGGATCTCCTGCACTAAGATATATTATGCACAAATCCCATTCTGTTCCCATAAATACAACATAAATACATAACAAATAAGCAACTATGATAAACCATACAAAAACCACTATTTTAAATCCTTTTTCTTGGTTCAAACAAGTTTCTCACCCACCGATTTCAGCTGAAGTCTCTGAAAGAGTTGAATCAACTGCCCTTTGTAATCGATGATCACCTCCTGGTTGGCCGAAGTCGTCACACTCTGCGCGCCATCCTTCCTTGGTTTCAGCCATGGGGGTACCCCACTAGCTGGATGGTTTATTTCATGGAAAATCCATCTATAAATGGATGCTGCTGGGCACCTCTATTTTCGGAAACCCCCATATGTTGCGAACTGCTTTTCCAATAGAGTGATGTATCCGGTTTGAAATCTTGTGGTTGAACGGTTGAACGGTAAAGTCTCTTGGAGGTTCAACATGCCATATGTACCATGGACTTTTAAAGGGAACACTGACCAAACACCGTGGTATTCACGATTCTTTAAAGGATGGCTCCTCCATCCCGAAGATCAACCAGGGAATCATCGAAGCATCAAACAAGTGAAGAATTCAGATTTTAGGAAAAACCGGGTCATTGTAAGCTATTTTCATGTGATTTTCCATGGTTTTTCCGTCATGGGAATTCTTCCATTGCCATGTTCGATTGCCTCCTTTTCAATGTCAGCCTAGTTCACTACCAGCCCTGCCCCTTTCGAGAAGTATTTCAGCACGTTTCACCACATGTTTAAGCCCAAACAATTGGCACAGGTCTGGCTACCCTGAGACAACCTCCGCACCAACCTTTTCATTTTTTGATGGGTACGGTGCACTGAAGCAGTTTTGCTCAAACATACAGTAACCCATAAAAAACCAGCCCTTTGCTGCTTGGTTTATCGACCTATATTGGCCACAGTCCCATTCCAAGTCGGCTAACTCCCAATGTTTGTTGGTTGTTTCTGCCAAGACCCAGCATGCACCAGTTGGCTTGTCGGTTTACCTTTCATTTGTATTGGTCAAATCATCAGTTTTGATTAGAGCCACTTGTTTGCCGCTTCCATCCTAATTTTTCATTCCCCGATTATTGCGAGGTCATCATTTCAGAACACAAAAACCCTTGACAATTCAGCTTCCAAGCATCTCATCTGGCGGCTCATTCTGCAAGGCCTCCAAAGCCACCAGAGCCACGTCCTATGTGACGATTTACTCACCGAGAATTGGGAGGAAAGAACACCCTCCGGTGCCATGTTTTTTTTCCGCTGGGAAAACCGCTGAACTCAATGGAGGTTTATAGCTGGGAAAATAAACATGGCTTTAAAACCAATAGCCAGCATCCCACTCAGTAAATCGTAGATAAGTAAAAGTAGTAGGCTTTATCATAGATCAGCACAACTAGATACAACTCGTAGGTTTTCATCTTTTTAGTCATCTATCATCCCATCAAGGCTTAGCAACATTTTTTGGTGGTCCATGTCCACAACTACCATGGTTGGGGATGACGACTCAATCCATTTATGGTACATTTCACATTATATAAACCGTCCGAAAAATGGTTCATTTCACCAGGATTGATGGTTGAATATTGTTCTGGTTGGTGGTTGAGCCTACCCCTCTGAAAAATGATGGACTTCGTCAGTTGGGATGATGACATTCCCAATAGATGGAAAAATAAAATTCATGTTCCAAACCACAAACCAGTATTGATAATTGATCTCTTCCAGACCCAACTGTTGAAGTATGGAGGATGGTTCTCAATCATTTGGTCAAACAAAGGGCGCTGTCAAATCGCTGTCTGAGCAATCCATTGTGGGGTTTTATGGAGAGGCCATCCCGATCTCCCGATGGTGAAAATGACCTGGTCGGTCTGGGTCAAAATGGGATAACCCAAAATCCAGATGAAATCAGATATGATGAATCTCAAAAGATTTGGTAGTTGGTGGTATACCTACACCTCCGAAAAATATGAGTTCGTCAGATTGGATCATCATCCCAACTATTGGGGAAAAAACAATGTTCCAAACCTCTAATCAGTCTGTGAACCCCTCTGGTTCCCCGTTTTTCCTGGGCCTTCAATTTCGACCCATCTCCAAGTTGCTTAAGAACGGCTTCTCAGATTGCTGGGCTCGGCTCATGCCTTGAAGGTTCTGGTGTGCCGGCAGTTCTGTGGAAGTCGAAGCTGACGAGCAGCGTGTTCTTCCCTTTTTCGAACGATCCTCCAAGAATCAAATGGTGCTCTTTCCTTCCATGATTCCTTACAGTACTCAACTCCTGTAAGAGCACCGAAGCTGATCTCAAAAGCCATCGCAGCTGCCCCAAAAGTCTGCTCCGCACCAGAAAGCCCAGCCTAGAAACCATCCCCAGCTTGAGAACTTCTAGTCCGGCAGGTAAAATATGGGCAAAGACAACAAAAACCACAGTATCTGATTTTCTATGCCTTGAATGTGCTCACTCATTAGATTTATTTTTTGAGGACAATCTTAACTTGAAAACATGTATTTTCCACCAAACATATGCAGCATATGCATATCATTTGGTTCCCCACCCGCCAGGTGAGGGTTGTTAGATTTTATCACAGTTGCTCTCCTCCTCCGCCTCCTCCTCCTCCTCCTCCACCTCCTTCTCCTCCTCCTCCCCCTCCCTCTCCTCTTCGCCAAGCTCTTCACCAACTTCCGCACGCAGTGGGCACTGCTG